CAGCACTGAGGAGGCAGACACAGGCAGATCCCTACAGCTTGCCTGCTAGCCACTACAGTTAAATTAGTAGAGTCTAGGTTCAGGGAGACTCTATCTCAAAAAAGAAAAAAAAAAGAGAGAGAGAGAAAGAAATGGATTGGAGCTAGAGAGATAGCTCAGCAGTTAAGAGTGCTTACTGCTCTTGCAGAGGAACCAGATTTGGTTCCCAGCACCCATCCGCATGGTAGCTCACAACCATGTGTAACCACAGTTCCAAGGGATCTGACACCTTTCTTCCTGGCATCATTGGGCACTGAGCACACACATGGTGTGCATAGATACATGCAGATAAAACATTCATACACATAAAAAATCAGCAAATAGATAGTAAAAACTAAAGTGAGAAGAAACTCAGGAAAATCTCAGGTGTCCTCTGTCTACACGTACACACATACAGATGTTCATGCACACCCGCATACACTAACATGTATACACATACCATACACACACAAGAAAGGAAGGAAGAAAGAGGGGGGGGCAAAAGGCTTCTGGGCTCAGTGGCTTAGGGGGCTTGCTGTGCAAGCATGGTGACCTGAGTTCAGATCCTCAGCACCAAACAGAGCAGTGCATGACTGTAAATCCTGTGCTGGGAGACTACAGATCTTAGGGGTTTCCTGCCCAGCCAGTCAAGCCAAATCAGTAAGCTTCAGATTCAAAGAGAGACACTGTCCCAAAAATTAAAGCGGAGGTGCTGGAGACATGGCGCAAAGGTTAAGACCCAAGTTCGATTCCCAACCACCCACATGGTAGCCCACAGCCATCCATAACTCCAGGGGACCTAGTGCCTTTTTCTGGCCTTCAGAGCACTGCATGCATATGGTGCCCAGCACACGAAACACCCACACACAAAATAATAAAATAAAAATTAAGAAAAATGGAGTATGAGCCGGGCATTGGTAGTGCACACCTTTAGTCCCAGCACTTGGGAGACAGAGGCAGAGGCAGGTGGATCTCTGTGAGTTTAAGGCCATCCTGGTGTCCAGGACAGGTTCCAAAGCTACACAGAGACCCTGTCTTGAAAAACAAAACAAAAAAAGAAAGAAAGAAAGAAAGAAAGAAAGAAAGAAAGAAAAGAAAAAAGAGAGACAGAATGGTGAGGACAAAGGTCAATCTCTGATTTACACACACACACACACACACACCTTCACAAGTACACACACAAGGGCATAAACACATAGCTTTAGTTCAGTGGTAGAATGGTTGTCTAGCATACATGGTACCCTAGGTTTAATATCCAGTACTGCAAAAGTAAAGCAATAAATAAAGGCAAAAAATAAAACCTCAGCACCACCTCTAAGAAAAAGTTCATTTGAAGCTCACTTTCGCCTATGAAAAAGCTCAACCTCCTGGCTCAGTGTACTGGACTCTGAGGGATCTGGAGCTACAGACTCACAGGCTCTTTGCTGAAGGCACCTCCCTCTCTCCAGCTGTGATCAGTCCCCTGTTCACTAAAACATTCAGCTTCTGTGCCTTCTGCCTGCACTGCTCTTCTCCACTGTATCTTACTAAAGGAACCCCAGGGCTATGCCTTCTGGAAGCCTGTCCTGACATCCTCCCTGGACAGGTGCTCAACCTCTGTGCACCCTACCCTATTTCTATGCCTGTGTGGTGAGTTCACATTGTTTTATAATTAGATCACCTCCTTCCGTAACCCAGAGAAGCCTGTGTCTGATTGCCAGTACCGGACGGAGCACATAGCAAGTGCTTAAGACTTAAATGCTTATTAAGTATTGAAGGGATAGAACAAATCCAAAAGACTCAGGGAGCTCCCCGTGGTTAAAATGCTCATAAGAGTCCAGGAGGTAAGAGGACAGAGAAGTTAAGGTTAGGAGGTCAGAGAGATGAGAGATACAAAAGTAGGGTCATGAGGTCAGAGTAGATAAAGGAGGGTCATGAACTCAGAGAATAACAAAGGGGGCAAGAAAGCCACACAGATGCTCAGAAAGGAAGTATCAGGGTCTCACCACCGAGCCAAGGTGCCGGGCCGGGCCGGGGCATAGCTGTCATGCCGATGTAGCTGTAGAAAATCTCTGCCTGGACCCTGTGCCAGCTCTGTGATCTCCTGGCCCCACCACCGGGCCTGCCGGTAGCTACCACATTTGAGAATCAGGGACCTGGACAGAAAGGAGAAACTGTACCACTAATCCCTTTCCTTCAGCCTACAGTCTTGTCCAAAGAGTCCTCCTTTGGGCTATTACCTTCTCTTAATTCCCCCATTAGCCCACAGACAGTGCAGATATCTGCTTTATTCGTAGTTGGGTTCTCAGTGAGCAGTACTGTATCAGGCATTCATTCAACGATGTTATTGTTATTGTTGAATGAACAAATGGGGTTTAGTTTCCTTCCCTTCTCTCCGCCACCCCCTTCCTCCTCCCTCTCTCCTTTCTTTTTAAGGCAGAGTTTCACTATAGAGCTCAGGTTCTACAGAGCCAATCCTCCTGGCTCAGCCTCCCAAAGAGCTGGGATGCATTACCATGCCCGGCTCCTTTTCTTTTTTATGTTTTTAATGTGCACGTGTGTGTGCAGGTGTGAGTGAAGGTGCCCACAGAATCCAGCAGAGGGTATCAGCTTTCCTGAAGCCAGGGTTACCAGTGGACATAAGCTCCAGTTATGGGTGGGCATCAGCCACCCTATGTGGGTGCAAGGAATGGAACTCAAGGCCTCTGAAAGAGCCCTATTCACTCTTCTCTCTCTAGCATCTATCTCCCTCCTGATTTATTCCAAGCTCCTGCACTGCAGGCCCTTATTCTAGGAGTATCCTAAACATATGGATAAACTAGTTCCCTGATTCAAAGCTCTGGCTGGACCAGGGCAGGGAGGACCGAGGAGCCTGCCTCTCTCCCCTGGTGTCTCGGGCTCAACTCCCCTCAGGGCCACAGAAGGCTCTCACACCAGGGAGGCCTTACCTGTGGGAGGTGTCGATCCTCACCCCATAGCGTGCCTCTGTGCTCCTTTTCCCCACCTGAACCTCAAAGCCAGGGTCAAAAAGCTGAACAAATGAGATGGTGCCGGTCTCCAGGCGCATGTACAACAGGAAGGAGTCCTTTACCACCAGCCACCTGGAGGGGAAGGGCTGTGTATACTGTCCAGAGCGCCTCTGCACCTGCCCATCGCTCCCTGCTCAACTCCAGCCCTCACCTCTTGGACCATCGATAACAAACTTGGTCTCGGCCACAGCAGGTGAAGCCAGGAACTCGATGCCCGCCTGAGCGTTTCCGGATCACCCCTTCCCTAGGGGACAATCAGAAGAATTGGGGACTCTAGGGATTTGTACTACATGTTTTTCAAGCAGGTAGATAGGGAGTGATGCCTGCAGAAGGTTGGGCAGGGAATTCCCACACTCACAGTCCTTTGGAGCCGAGGTCTGGGATAAAGGAAAGTTGACTGACTTCTAGAAATTCTGTCTGCAGAGGAAGAAATAAGCTCAGGGGTAGACTTGGCTTTCAGCCCCTTGGCTTTTACCCATTCTGCCACTTTGTCCTCATTTACTTAAAAAACCCCAGGCATCCTAGGACAGGTTGGCACAGGCTTTTACTCCCAGAACTTGGGGAGGCAGAGGCAGGTAGATCTCTGTCCATTCAAATCCAGCCTGGTCTACCATAGTTAGTTCCATGCCAGTCAGGGTTACACAGTAAGATCCTTTCCAGAGAGGAGAAAGAGAGAGACAGAGAGACAGAGACAGATACACCCAGGCATCTAGATACTGGACCTTACCATGGCATGGTAATTTCGATAGAAAGACATAGTCAGGAGGCGGTTGAGGTAATTTTCCAGGTATTTCTGAATGGGGTTGGGAAAGAAACAAATGTAGCCGGAGCTTTGTGCACACTACAACACCTTGCTACGGGATCTGGTGTTAGGTCATACCTGCTTGCTGGCTGTGTGTCTGGTGGAACCCTCAGAACCTCCTCGGGGTAGGGAGGGAATGTCCTCATTGGCTGCCTCTCGGGCTGGAGAATAGGCCACAGCAAAGCTATAGAGGAGAGGAGAGAAAGCTCAGGAAGAGCTGGCAGGCTAGATGCCTGAAACACTGGAGACAGGGCCTTGGAGTGGGAGAGAGGCTGGCAGAAGAAAGGGTCTCTATCCTGGGAATGGAGACAAGTGGGGTGGGGTGTTGCCAAGGACAATTTGGGCATCCAGCCTGGCTGAAATGTTGGCACAGTACCATGGACAAAGAGAACCAAGCAGAGGAAGTTTCTTGGGAACCAGGGTCCAGCACAGAGCTGGGAGAAGGAAAATGGCCAGGAAGAAAAGGTTACAGTAGGTTGGGGTTGAGACAGGCAGACAAGAATGAAGGCTGCCTTAGGGTGAGGAATATCTATCTGCCTTTTACAGGAAGCACACTAGTCCCACTCACCGAGCCAAAGGGAGCAGACTCATCAAGACTTTGTGTCTCTGGAGGTCCCGATGCAGTTCCTGAAAGTGTCGGAATTTCTTCTTGGTTGTCCAGGTAAAGTCGCCATGAGTCAGGCGGACGGAATATAGAGTACAGGTTCCCACCTGGGGGTATAAAAATCTGAAAGTCATGTTTTCCGGGTCTTCCAGCCCAACCCAGCCCTCCACTTTGGCTAGGCCTCCCTCTCCTACCCTCCCTGGTACCAGCCCAACCACCTTGGATCCACTGGTGTATCTTTCAGTGCCCACCACCTGGGCTGTAACCGGGACTCCAGGGGCAAACACCAAGGGGTGCACTTTCAGTGGCTGAAGGTCGTAGACGGCCAGAAAGGGATGCATTCGATCAGCTGGAAGTGGAAGAAGAAAAAAAAAAAAAAAAAAAAAAAAGCCCAAGGGAGTAGGTCTCAGGCGGCCCCAGATCCCTATCCTCCCCTCTGTGGGAGCCATCTCCTTGTGTACCTGGATCCTCTCCTTCCTTCAGAGTGTCAACCTCATCTGGCTCCATGTGCAACTGGCTGGAGTCCAGGTAGTCCCCATAGGGAAAGAGGTTCTCCTGGGTTGCAGTCATCCTATGAATATGAGGAAGCCTCAGGAAGGGCCTCGCCCATACAGAAACACCCTTCCCTATCCTAACGCCCCCGGTCCTCACCCATCTCATTTAGCTGACTCCCAACTTCTATAGCTGCAGACCTACGCCCCTCGAGCCTCCACTCTGTGCAACACCCAGCCCCGCCTCTTATTCGGTATTCAGGGTCCAAGAAGCACCTAGCTAAGCTGGAATGGCCTCGAACTGGGACGAGGTAAGTCCAAAGGAGGAATCCTGGTGACAGCTGGGCTCAAAGTCAGGCCAGAAGGGCTGGAAGCGAGGGTCCCGGCGGGAATGAGGAAGTTAGGACGCGTTCCCCGCCCAAGAGAGAAATCCCGAAATCTGGGTGTGCGGTTGAGTTAGAAGGCCAGAGCAGCTCCAGCCTAACCCCGTCCCCGATCTCAGCCGCGCCACGTCCCCGGCCCCTCACCCTGGCGGCGGGCGCCCGCACCCGCGCGGGTTCGCAGGCACGGGAGCAGAACTCAGCAGGGAGCCCACACCCCAGAGGGCCGGGGCGGGACCGGGGCTCAGGGCCTGCCCTTGGGGGCGGGACGGCCCCCCCACCTCACCTCCGCGGGTGGCGCATCAGCCGCGTCCCGCCCCCGCCTTCTGCGGGCTCTGCGCTATAGACGCCCCGGGTCGGGCTCGGCCCGCCCACTCCCGGGGCCGCCCCCTCCCTAGGGCAGTCCTCTCCCTCTGGATGCCCTCGGGGTACCGGGCTGGAATGTCCACCGTCTCCGAGTGTGCGATCCACCCCGTTCACATTCCTCTACTGCGCGCGCGCGGGCCTTGGGTTGTCTGGTCTCCAGCGCTGCCTGGAATCAGGGCGGAACTGGCCTCGGTGGCGAGGACTTGCCGGTGTTCCCTTGCTGAGCCCCGTGCAGATAGCATTTGTTGATGGGAGCTAAAACGAGATTAAAAAGCCAGAAGGATGGTGACTCCAAGTTCGTTGCAGCATGAGAAATCACATTCTTCTTTCACTAAACGTTTATTGCTCCGTAGGGATTAGCCAGACACTGAGGTACAGTAACAGACCAGAACATGTAAATTCCAGTCTAGAAAAAAACTTTGTTTCAGATCCTAAAGCTCGCCTGTATGTCCTCCCTTTCTTCTTTCCTTCCCTCCCTCCCTCCCTTCCTTCTTTTCTTCTAAATTTCCACTGATAAACATTTGAGTTGTTTTAGTTTTCGTTCACTGGAAATGAAGCTCCCATAAACATTTATGTGCCAGTAATTTCTCTTAAGTAAGTAACTATAGTGAACTACTGGGTCATATATAAGTGTATGTTTAACTTACAGGAGACCGTCAAGACCTGGGCTTGGCAGTTTGTAGTCCAGTAGCAAAGAATTGGCAAGAGGGTTGTAAAGCTTGGGGTGGAGGCCTGCTGACACAAAGCACTGCCCCCCAAAACAAAACAAAACAAACAAACAAACAAACAAAAAAAACCGCCTCTGGAGAGATGGCTCTGTGCTTAAGGGCACTGGCTGAGGACCATATGGCTGCTCAGGAATAAATGTAACTCCAGTTCTAGGGACCTAATGCCCTTTTCTTGCCTCTATGGGCCCTGCACACACAAAGCATGCACACACACAAAATAAAAGCAAAGAAAAATTGAAAATAAAAGTCCCTTTCAAAAGGGCTCTTTTGTTTTACATTCTTTTTCTTGTTATTTTTTGTTTGTTTGTTTTGTTTTCAAGACAGGGTTTCTTTTTGTTTATTTGTTGTTGTTGAGACAGGGTTTCTCTGTGTGTCCCTGGCTGTCCTGGACCATACTAGCCTCAGACTCAGAGAGTTGCCCACTTCCAGCTTCCAAGTGTTGGCATTAAAGGTCTGTTTTACATTTCTAAAAACCAGCGAATGAAACTTCTATTATAGTTACTCCATAGCACGCACAGTGCACATCCAATGCTGTAGGCCCTTTGTATTACCCATCCTAGTGGTGTGAAAGGTATGGCAATCTTAATAGTACTTCTCTGGCTCATCGTGGTAGCACATGCCTCTAATCTCAGCACTTAGGGGGCAGAAGGAGGCCTGGTTCCAGGACAGCCAAGGCTGTTACACAGAAAAACCTGTTTTTAAAAAAAAATTACACATCTCCAAATGTTGATGACCTTAACTATATCCCATATTCTTAAGTATCTGTTCATTATTCTCTAATTTAAAAAATCTTACACATACATATTAAGTAGAATGTCTCTATGTCAGTGTTTCTCAACCTTTGGGCCCTATCTCAAAAAAAAAAAAAACAACCCCTCTCTGGAAACATCTCCACAGACTTGCCCAAACGTATGCTCATCCATGACTTACATATTTTGTGGTTGTTGTTGTTGCTTTTGTTGTTTATAGAAGATGGTCTCAGCTTGATATGTAGACCAGGCTGGCGTAGAACTCACAGAGATCCACCAGCCTCTCTGTCTCCTGAATGCTGGGATCAAAAGTGTGTACCACCACAATAAGCTCAGGTAAGGAGGGTGTGTGTGTGATGTATTTATATGATACACACACACACACACACACACACACACACACACACACACCATGAACATGCAGGAACCCAAGGAGATCAGAAGAGGGCATCAGAGGCCTAAAAGCCCTGTCCTGATCAAATCACAATGAGGGGTATTGGTGGGGGCAGGGAGGAAAGTGGAAAGGATGGACCAGCTTTCCCTGTATTTTATATTCTGTTTCTTCAATATATAACCAATAAGTATCTTGTTAATATAGTTAGTCGATAGGTTGACCTCAAAAATATTGGCTAACCATCACAAAATGAAATGTTCAGAATAAAAAAGTCCACAGAAACAGGAAATATATTAGTGGTGTTGGGTAAGGAGAAGGAGGAATGGGGGAATGATTTCTAATGAGTACAAGGGTTTCTTGAGGGTAATGGAGAAATCTAAAATTAGTTGTGGTGGTTATATAACTCTGTGAATATAGCAAAAGCCACCATGGAATTGTGTCTTGAAATGGTGAATTTTATGTATGTTCTGAAGAACATTGCAATAAATTACAGACCACATAAATTGTTACTATAGGTAAACCATTATGCTGAAAGAAACCAGATATGAAAAAGTAGTCCAGTATGATTACATTTATACAAAGTTCTGAAACAGACAAAAACAACTGATAGTAATGGAAGTCAGATAAGTACAGGGCATGAGAAGAGATTGCCTAAAAAGGGGCTTTTTATAAGAAAAATTTCTAGGGTGATAGAAAATGCGTTCCAGGGTTGGGGAGATGACTCAGTAGATACAGTGCTTAGTGTACAAGCAGAAAGACTTGAGTTCAGAGCCCCGGTATACAGTGAGATATCCACCTTGCCACACTCCTGACACCAGTTATCAATGCACAGATTATGATACACAGGACAAGGACAAAATATGGGTTATATATTTTATTCAGGGATAAGTCACTTACACGAGGAACCAATGACCTGCAAGTTCCTGCTCCAAGGACCCATGCCCAGGCTGCTCTCCATGACCCAACTGCAACAGAGAAAGAGAGAGAGAGCTGGGGTCTGGGACCCCAGACCTAGCCTACTCTGTCAGGTCTGCACCTGTGACCATGTGCGTGTTCAGTGCCACAGGTGCGGGCAGGGTGGGTATCTCACTACAATTCCCCTTTTAGTCTAAAGAAATTTAGACTTGATACAACACTATATACAAGGACAGTAAATATCAAGTATGCTCTAGTACAAGGAAATGTAAGAATATACACAGGTTAAGACCTATCGCCAGTGAAGCAACAAGAGCAAATGGCAAAAATTACACCAATATCCACATAAAAGCCAGGCCTGGGGAGGTGTCTCTGTGAGTGTACATACTTAACCGAGCCCCTCTTACACAAACCAGGCATGGTGGTTGGTAACCCCAGCACTTCCAGGTATAGAGACAGGAGGGCTTCTGGAGGTCTAAGTTCAGTAAAGAGATCCTTCTCTCAAGAACTAAGGTGGAGAGGGCCAGTGAGATGGCTCAGAGGGTATAGGAACCTGCTACCAAGCCTGACCACCTAAGTGTAACTCCTGAGACCCACATGGTGTTAGAAGAGTACTGACTCCAGCAAGTTGACTTCTGACAGCCACACATGCTATGCTGTGGCACACTCACACACCCCTCCCCCAACATGCAACATGCACACAAAATAAATTTAAAGTGCAATTGAAAAATAAGATGGAGAATGATAGAGCAAGTTTCCCGGATGGTTGGAGAAAGGTGGAGAAAGGGGTGGGGTGGTGTCCGAGTGGGGGGTCCCAAAGTAGGGGACCACATGGGAGAGCATAGCAGGTTCCACAACAGGCGAGGGTGACCAAGGCGGAGGAAATAACAAGCCAGGCAGACAGAGTTTAACTGAGAAGTTTATTTAGAAGGGGGAGTGAGGGAAAAGAGACATGGAGACACCGGGAACAGAGGAGAAGGGGGTGGAAATACAGCAAGGAGCAAAGGGCAAAAAAGAAAAAAAAGAAAAGAAAAGAAAAAAGAAAAAAGAAAAAAATGCAAAGAGAACATAAATGGGCAGGGGTCTGTCTTTTAAAGGGGTCCTTTACATCTGAGTGCAGACTAGGACTCATGGAACCCTGGGCTGGCCAGAGTACTGCCTGAGTGCATTCTGCCAGGTGACAGGGGCAGGCCATTGTAATGCCTGAATCCTTACAGGAGATGCATGGTGTGATATGGGTGTTCAAGATATACATAATTGATGTCTTAGGTTTATGTTGCTGTGCTAAACACCAAAAGCAACTTGGGCTAGCATGATGACATGCATTTTTCATTCCAACACTTAGGAGGCAGAGGTAGGGGGAACTCGATGTGCTTAAGGCCCGCTTGGTCTACATAGTAAATTCCATGACAGCCAGGGCTACATAGATAGACCTCGTCGTCGTCTGAAAACAAAAAGGAACTCTTACTTGGCTCACATATCCCACTGATGGAAGCCAAGGCAGGAGCTCAAGGTAGGAACTGAAGCATCCCAGGACCGCTTATCCAGGTCCTCCCACATCAATCACCAGTCAAGAAATTGCCTACAGGCCAATCTGATGGGGAACATTTTCTCAATTGAGGTTCCTTCTTCCCAAACGACTCTAGCATGTGTCATGTTGACAAACAAAACAAAATAAAACAAAAAAACACTAATGAACACACTTGGTTTCAATAAGGTTCTTTTTAGGGGGTAGGAAAAAGGTCATATGGAACAGTCCAGGCTGAACTTGAAGTAGCAATCTTCCTGCTTCAGTCTCTGTTTTGCTGAAATTTCAGGGATGTACCACTACTGCCAGCTCAACTTAAAAACAAAACCCGAGTGTGGTAGCCTTCACCTATAATAGCAGTGCTTGAGAGAGGTAGAGAATAGCGGGAGTTCAAGGCTAGCCTTGACAACATGAAGTCTGGGGCCAGCTACATGCAACCCTCTCTCAAAAAACAAATGAAAAAAAAACGCACCACTTCTTCCTCCCCTGCAAATTGCTGGGTTTTGCTCAGTGGTAGAAAACTTTCCAAGCACACACGGGGCTCTGGGGTTCATCCCCAACACTGCAAGTCTCAAACAAGAAGTAAACCAACAAAAGCCACTAGACGTCTAAGTACAGTGCAGCCAGCAGAGGATCCTAACATTTCCCACTGGAGGCAACTCAGGGAATGATGATACAGCCCTTGAGCAGCTCTATGCAAGGCTCTTGGTTGTGGTGCCAGGACCTGAAGTTCCCAGCCTGGGTTCTGCTGCATACCCATCAGTGCTGGAATGACAAACACACTAAGTGCAGAGTGATGGTTGACAAATCAGATCTGGAGTCAGACTGACTTAGGGTAGGGTTGAAGAGGCTTCTATCCAGTTCTGGGTAACTGCCCATCTCTTAGTGACCTCCTTTCCCGGTCTGTAAAACCAGGATAGGAATAGCACCTCAAAAGATCACTATGGCAGAGTATTCATCTATTGTTGAGCAGTACTATGAGATTCCCATTGTAAAACGATGGCAACAGATAACTAACAGGGACAAGCCACCAGACTTGGGCTTGGCAGTGCAAGCCTGCAATCCTAGCAGTGGGAGGCTGAGGCAGGAGAATCACCAACAGTTCCAGGCTAGTCTGAATCCCATGTCTGAGACTCTGTGTCGAAACAAAAACAGACACAGAGTTATCAGACCACTTAGTGAGAACACAGTTCTTCCTCTGAATAAAATTTCTCATGCCAAAAACAGTATTGTTAAATCTGTATGCCTTGGGCACTTCAAATTTGCACCCCAAGGTAAAATTCAGAAAACAAAGAAAATGGTGACCGAGAGGGGTTAGCTTAGTGACAGAGCCCTCACCCAACATACAGGAGGTCTGAGGCTCTGTTACCAATACCAAAAAATCAAAACAAAACACATTCCCATTCCCAGGAGTGTCTAGCCTGACTCCAAGCTGAGGGGTTTTACTTTACTGAATTTTCCCTGTCATAGCACCCCTCTGCTTGCCTCTATCATGAAACCCCCCAATGTCGTCCTTCTGAGTGGGGATAAAAGAACCCCCAAATCAAGAGGGCACCAAGTGTAAGTATTTGAATGGGGGTAGGCCCACACCCTTCCTCCTCTCCCTCTTTCCCTACTTCTATCTCCTGGCGCCTATAATCACCAGGCGGTCTGAGGCTAAGTGGTAGTTTTGCCCACGGTGGGGGGACTTGAAAACCGCACCCCTCCCCCTGGGGCCCTCCTGGCCTTCCCAACGTCCCAGGCTCCACTATTGAGATGGGTCTGAAGGGGGCTTGGTGTTTCCCATGGTGCGGGTGCCGGAGACAGCGGGGGACTGAAAGAGGAACAGGTATGGGTGTCCACTGGGGGGGAAGGGGCAGATTGTCATGAATTGGGGGGGGGAGATAAACCCTCAACCCAGGGAAGGAAAAGGATCCCGTTGCCTAGGAAGGAAGCAGATTTGTGTCTCCTCAGGGCCACCTGAAGATTTTGCAGAGACTGCAAAATGGAAAGATGGTAGCCTGTGGTAAAGGCATAAGAATATCAAGATGGTGACTGCAGATTACTGCCTCAAGCACTGGGGCGCTTTTGAGCAGGACAGGGATTTGGAGGGGTGTCTCTACAACAGCTCAAGCCATATCCCGTGGAAGCTGGCCTCACTTTAGATGCTCCCTCTCTGCAGCCCTGGCGCTGTCACTGACACCCCTCACTCTCTTCTAATCCCTTTTCTCTGTGGGTGTGGTGGGAGGCATGGGGCAGTTGAACTCTGACTTTCTCCCTCCAACCCTTCTTCTTCTGATTCCCCCGTTAGGCCTGGAACCTGCTTCCCCTCCAGATCCTAGTCCAGCAGTGGCCCCCATTGTGACTGGGGGACCACCCTCCCCAGGGCCTGGTGCCTACCTAAGCCGGAAAGCTCGACTCTCCTTCCGCCACCAGCTGCACGATGTGGCATCAGCCAATGACTCTACCATTTGAAAGGGACAACAAGGGCTAAACTTTATTCCAGGAAGTCTTGGCAACCTTCTGTCACCACATTTCTCAGTGGTCCCAAATCTGTCATGACCTCATTAAACTTGTTTAGAGTTGCAGAGTGTTGTGTTTGAGTGTTGAGTGACGGTGATCAGGGACTGATAGGTCTGGGGTAGAAGTCTGAGGTAGAAAAGTGTATGATCAAATGGGAATGCTGTATCCAAGGCAGATCTCAAGTATAGCTAATAGGAAAGTAAAGTTTGCTGAAATCAGGCTGCAGAGTGGGTGTGGGCAAAGTGAGCTGGGGAAAGTTGGACCTGGGCAGGATAGGAAAAGGAATTAAGTTTTTTTTTTTTTTTTTTTTTTTTGAGACAGAGTTTCTCTGTGCAGCCTTGGTTGTCCTGGAACTCACTCTGTAGACCAGAATGGCCTCGCACTCACAGAGATCTGCCTGTGTCTGCATTCTGAGAGCCAGGATTAAAGGTGTGTGCCACTACTGCCTAGCTAAGGAGTTTATTATCTAGTGTTGGGCTGGGGAGATTACTCAGTGGATAGAGATACTTTGCTGCATAAAGCCTGAAGATGTGGGTTTGATCATTGGAAATCCTTGTAAAATGCCAGGTACCCAAAGCACATTTGTAATCCCAGCCCTCCTGGAGGGACAGGAGGCAGAGACAGTATGAAGCTAGATCTTGCCTTAACCAGGTTGAAGATAATCAATTCCAGAAGTTGTCCTCAGATTTCTACATGTGTGCTGTGGCATGAACATGTGTGTGTGTGCGTGCACACACACATACTCAACAAACACACTAAATAAAACCTTTAAAAATTTTAAGTTAGGGCTGGACAGTGGTGGCTTATGCCTTTAATCCTGGCACTCAGGAGGCAGAGGCAGGTGGATCTGAGTTTAAGGCCAGCCTGGTCTACAGAGTCAGTTTCAGAACAGCCAGAACTGTTACACAGAGAAACCCTGTTTCAGGGTGAAAAAATTAAGTTAGAAGAGGGAGTGAAAAGAATATAAGAGATGGAAAACAGGAAGGAATGCTGAGAAATGCTTTTAGGTAGCATGGTCTTTGAACCCATGAACCTAGAGAATTTGCACAAGATCAAGCCAGTCAAGATTTCAGCAAGGATGGAAGCAGAGCTCAGACTCCCATCCCTAGCTGAGCTGTTGGCAGTTGGTGGCTAGAGAGTCTATTTTCTTTGGAGGTGTGGTCCCAGTATGTTCCCCATGCTCCAGTGGATGGCCCCATACCCATGTACATTCAGGCAACACTAATTGGACACTAATTGACTATCTGTCTGTCTGTCTATCTATCTATCTTTAGATAGATATAGATACTTATGACATGAAAATGGAAGCGGGACATGTTGGGGGTTAAGTCCAAAAGAGAAGGAAGGGGCAATGAGGAGTGGATATGATCAAAAGATAATGTATAAATGTATGGACTTGTCAAAGAATAAATTCAAAATGTTCTTTAAAGAATGTAGTGTCACCAGGCAGTGGTGGCACATGCCTTTAATCCCAGAACTCAGGAGGCAAAGGCAGACAGGTCTCTGAGTTTGAAGCCAACCTGCTCTACAGAGCTACACAGAGAAACCCTGTCTTGAAAAAAACAAAAACAAAACAAACAAAAAACAAAAAAGAATGTAACAAAGATTTATCAATAAATCAGGAAGAATTCCTTCTTTTATTGAGTTGACTTTCCAGTAGGAACAGTTGATAACAAGTAAAAAAGCAAGCAAGTTACCAGGAGATAGCAACTGGGAGAAAAATTAAACTGGGCACTATGAGAATGGGTCAGGGGTAGGGAGAGTTTCTTCCCGACCTCTCAAGAGGTCAGAAAAAGCCTTCCTGATGAGGTGACCTCTGAGCTGAGACCAAGGTGATGAGTGTCAATGCAGGTCACAGAGTCTTAACAGGTCAGTCTGCTCTGGCGTAAGATACTGACAAATGGGGAGGGAGGCTGTGCATATGTGGAGGCAAGAGATTCTTTTTTTTTTCTTTTTTCTTTTAAGATTTGTTATGTATACAGTATTCTGTCTGCATGTTTGAAGAGGGTACCAAGTTATTATAGATGGCTGTGAGCCAACATGTGATTGTGGGGAATTGAATTCAGGACCTCTGGAAGAGCAGTCAGTGGTCTTAACCTCTGAGCCAGCTTTCTAGCCTCGAGGCAAAAGATATTTAGGAAGTCTCTTTAACTTCAACTCAGTCCTGCAGTAAACCTCAAAATACTCTATTAAAAGATAAAAGTTTTGCCAACACAGTGGCTCCTGTCCAAAATCTGGAAGGCTGAGGTATAAGGGTTGTCACAAGTTCCAGGATAGTGAGTTCCAAGTTATTCTGAGAGATCTGTCTTAAGCAACTTGGGGCTGGGGGATAGAGGTGCACTGGGGAGGCAGAGGCAGGTGGATCTCTGTAAGCTCAAGGCCAGCCTGGTCTACAAAGCAAGTTCCAGGACAGACTACAAAGTGACACATAGAAACCCTGCCTCAAAAAAAAAAAAAAAAAAAAAAAAAGAAAAAGGTATCAGTGACAAGTGTCAAAGCTGGGACAGCTGTTTGCTCTTCTAGGTCATAAGTAGCCAGTATTCTAGGTGGAAAGACAAGATCCCAAGGAATGCTTTTCTTTTTGGGGGGAGGTGTGATTGTTTTGACAGTCCCACTAGGTAGCCCTGGCTGACTCTGAACTCCCTATGTAGACCAGGCTGGCCCCAAACTCAGGCAACCATCTGCCTCTGCCTAGTATTAAAGGTGAGTGCTACATCTGGTCCGATACTGAGAACTGTGCTACAGAGAAGCAACATGGGTTCATATTTACAGACATACATCTTTTTGGTTGCTCTGTATTAAGGATTGCATAAGGGCAGGCATGGATGAGGGCAGAGGCTCAGAGACGATTATATACTTTCATAAAGTTTTTAGAGCTGAATTGTTAGGTTAAGTGCGAGAGAAGACTCAGAGAACAGGTTTGAGCATGAAAATCTAAAGTATTTCTAGCTAAATGTTTAGAGTCAGGCATCCCTTTCTGCTCTTTTCACTTAATTAGGACCTTACTGCTTGTGGTAGCTTAGAATCATCACGGAAAACAAACCTCTGGGCATGTCTCTGAAGGAGTTTCTAGGTTAGGTTAACTGAGGTGGAAATATTATTCCTAAATGTAGGTGGCACCATTCCATGGACTGGAGTTTCAGAACAGAGAGCCAAGCAGCACTACTTCCTGCTCAAGGTATAGGGTAACCAGTGGCTTCACACTGCCATGTCCTCTCTGCCGTGATAATGTCATAATGAGCTGTAACCAACCTTCCCAAAGTTGCTCATTACAGTGTTTATCTTCCTCCCTCCTTCTTTCCTTAGGAATAGTCTATAGGAAGAACCATCCTTCCTGCCCCTCTGAACTACTCCAGAACAAGGTCTGTAAATGTGGCTTCTAGTTCCCTGACCAGTTCCCTGACTAGCGAAAATAAGACAGGAAAGATGGAGTTACTGAACCTCTGAGCTCCTTTAGGTCCTCAGTTTGAACAGGGACAGCTTCAAAGGGGCTGGAGCCCATCCTCAGCCACATGAGGACGGTGGCTTACAGAGATGGCCAAAATCACTCTCTATGGCTGCCCTCTGCCACCTAGCGTCCACCTTAATTCCCACTTGTAGACAAGTCCACTTCTTTCCCCAAAGACAAAGAAGCCACATTGCTATGTGACCACTAAGTGACAGAGGGAAAGAGGGGACCAAGAGGATGGCCTGGGGGACATTTTAACCTGGGTCAGTGGTCACCATGATGACTGGCAGCAGGGGAAGCGACCCCAGTCTCATAATCCTGAGTTTTAGCGGGGACTTAGGATGTTGCTGCAGCTCCCATATCAAACACATTCTGGTGGTTTGGGTACCTGGGTATGTAGAGTAAACATGATCTACAGAAAAGGTCTCAGAAACTACACCTGACCAGATACATCGGTACACGTCTGTGACCTGGGTACTCAAGAAGCAAAGGCAGGAGGATTGCCACAAGTTCAAGACCAGCTTGGGCCATACAAGATCCAGTCTCAAAAAAGAAAAACAAAGGGACTGGAGAGATGGCTCACAGGTTAAGAGCAGTGGCTGCTCTTCCAGAGAACCTGGGTTCGATTCCCAGCACCCACATGGAAGCTCACAACTGTAACTCCAGCTGCAGAGGATCCAACACTCTCACACAAATAAAATCAGTAATTAAAAACGACAAACAAAACCTAACTAACCAAAAAGAATTTGATAATTATAATAATAATAGAACAGAACATTTACAAACCTTCCTCATCAAATCTCTAATTCCCACTGAGCTCAGTTCAGTAGTTCCCATAAGAGATTGGACCAGACAAGTTCAAGCTTGAAGTCAAGAAAAAATTCCCCAAATAGAAGAATCTCTTTGACAAACTGTTTATTAACTTTGTATCAGTATGAATATCTTTTATTATACCCTAGAATACTAGGATTCAGGGAGGTGGTAAAGTAGCAATGGTGAATTTGGGTATCTGGTCTCCCAAAAGTACCTGCCGCTCTACCCCTGATTCTTGAATGGCTGCCAAGCGGATCACCCCTCCACTGGAGCCATCTCGTTCCATAGCCAAAGCAAGTGCTGTAGATAAAAGGAGGAAATTGGGTTTAGAGTTAGGCGCTGAGAATATGGCAAGGGATAAGAAATCTTGGTATGGGTTGGGTAATGAAGGCTGAGGTTCACAGGTGTAAAAGCCCAAATTCTCACCATTGGCAGTGAATTGCAGACATTCATCCTTGGTCATTCCTTCCCGATAGGTAGCATCAACATAGCCATAGATATATGAGCTTCCAGAACCTCCAATGGCAAAGGACTGCCTTACCATCATACCCCCCATGGGAACTGAGTACACCTGCAAGGGGAGGTGGGAAGAGGAGAAAAACCATCAGCTGCCAACATATGTACATTTCCCCACCCCTTTTGATTTTGGTCTGGGGGAAAGTTTATGGTGAGGTAGCGACAGAAAGAGAAATCAAAAAATGGCTGGAATGGGACTGGGGTTGGCTCAGGTGGTAAAGTCCCTGCTGGGCAAGCACGAAGACCTGATTTCAAATCCCTAGCACTGAAGGCCAGACATGTCTATAACCCTAGCACAGGGAGAAGGGGGCAGAGGGGATAATCTCTAGAGCTCATTAGCTAGCCAGCCTAGTATAAGGTGAGCTCTATGTTCAGAGTGACCATCTCAAGGAAAGAAGTGAGAATAAAAGACATTCCATTAGACCTCTGGCCTCCACACACATGCATGCAAACACCCACGGAATATGTGCAACAGGACAGACAGATGGACAGACACACTAAATGGCTGAGGAGAGTGGAGAGCAAAGGTGTGACTCCAGTACTCTGGTGCTGAAGGGCCTGACCTGCCCTTTTTCTTGAGGGTCCCAGCCTGCAATGATGATTCCTGCCATCAGATCTTCTCTGTATCGGTAACACATCTCCTTAAAGAGGCTGGCGGCTGTGTGTACTAGTGGAGGCTCATTCAGTTCGATACTAGAAGGTGGGGTTGGAAGGTCACGGAGGAGGCAGTGTCAGGATCTGGAGTCAGGCCTCTTAGTGCCTTATGTCCCAGATCCCTTAGGATATTTGTTCCTCCCCTGCCTGCACGCACCTGTGGAAACCGAGCTGGTAAGTGACAGCATCAGCTACTGCTTGGGTATCAGCTGCTGAGCCTGAGCGGCAGCAGAAAATACGATCATGGATAGGCGTCAGCTTGTCAGTCACTCGATTGGCAATGTAGGACCTGAAGAATGGCACAACAGTGAGATGGACCCCACTTGCCTCCCTCCTCCACCACACCACTGTCGACTCCCTCAGCTTCAGGGAGAAATACTGGTACTACTACCCATTAGTTCTTCTGAAAATGAAGCAGATGAACAGAGAACAGACCTTTATTAGTATCTAATAACATTGGGAACAAATCCTTCTCTTCCCACAGTGGTCTGAGGACAGTAGGGACGGAGTGGTGGACAGAATGGGGTGTATGTGTGGGGTGGGGGCCCAGGAAGACCTTTCTCTGTTTTGAGCTCACCCGGTGGTTGTTCTCGAGTCTGCTCCTAGAACCACGCCCCCATCAAACTGCACAGCCATGATCGTGGTCTGGGGAAAAGAGCGTAAAAAGGGTGAAGCTGAGCCTTACCACATACTCCACACATCCACCTCAGGGACTCTTCACCCGGATTCTATAATACAAAATTCGTGCTCCGCGGACCCATGACCAAGCCTTACGGGGACTCAACACTTCAAAGGATATAAAAACTCCAAATCCCATGGTTCAGAGTCTCATGCTCAGTCCACTGTTCACCTCTCACCACGAAAGGTGCCAATCAATCACCCCACTCCAGCATCCAAACAACCCTTCTCCCTCTGGCTGCACAACACTGCACCTCTCCCCCAACACACTAAGCCCAAACCCATGCGGGCTTCGCGCTTTCCCTCGCGTCAGGCCTACAACATGTCTTCTGAACTCCGACTCTTTCCTCACCCCTGTGGAGACTTCCCGGTTTTCCCAGTCTGGGGTGAGAGCCTCCGGCCCAAAGGCCGGTGCAGAGGTCCCTCCACGAACACCTAAGGCGGCCGCCATCTTCCTCTTCTACTGCTGCCACAAAGCAACTGTCGTAAAGCGCTCCGTCACTCTCTTTAGTACCTCGCTGTGGCCTTCTGGGAGGGAAGCTGGCGGAGGTTGACGGCAGAAGGGAAAAGAAGTAGTTCGTTTGCGACAGTGAACACTTGACGGCAGTGTGTCAAAAAAAAAAAAAAAAAGAGGTGGGTACAGGGAGGGAAGGCGAGGGCGGAGCCTCTTCTTTTACAGACAGTCCAACCAGAGGCCCGCTGGCCCTGAGGCTAAGCGTAGATGTAACTGCGGTCCAACTTTATGAGATTTGTGTGTGTGAGTGATTTTTTTTTTTTCTTTTTGTGGTAGTCTCGAGTATGGTTCTGTAGATGACAACGTTATGTCTCAATGTCAAAAGGCAAAAGGTTGGACACGCCATAACCTGATTGGTGTCCTGGTTCAAAGAACAGGCAAATAGAGTGTAAATTGGAATGGTCAGGGCATGTTTTCATTCCTTTTGGGTACCAAATTTAGCAGTGTATGTTAGGAGTTGGTTTTCTGTGTCTTTTGAAGAAGCTGTAATTACTTTCTGTACTACTTAATAACTACACCTGCTATACTGAGGGTTTCTACCTTCATGCATTACCATGCATGTGGATGCAATCTTGTGATTTTGATTTGTTTTTCCTGAATAATATTATTTAATCATATTTAATCCTATTTCCATGGCTAGTGAGCCATTTGAGTATCTTCATGGAGCAATGTCCATTTAAGGTTTTTGTCCATTTTAAAAAAGGGATACACCGGGTGTTGGTTGGCGCAGGCCTTTAGTCCCAGTACTGGGGAGGCTGAGGCAGGCGGATCTCTGTGAGTTCAAGGCCAGCCTGGTCTACAGAGCTAGTTCCAGGACAGGCTCCAAAGCAATACAGAGAAACCCTGTCTCGAAAAAACAAAAATAAAATAAGAAAATAAATAAATAAATAAATAAATAAGGGTTATTTAGGGGCTGGAGAGATGGCTCAGTGGTTAAGAGCAGTGACTGCTCTTCTTAAGGACCTTGGTTTAGTTCCCAGTACCTATGCAGCAGCTCACTCACAAGTGTCTGTAACTCTAGTTCCAGTGGACCTGACACCCATGGCAAACACCAGCTCACATAAAATAAAAATTACTAAATTTTAAAAGGGGGGGGTTATTTGATGTTTTTATTGCTGTGTTGTGAGTGGGGTTTTTGTTTGCTTGGTTTGGTTTGGTTTGGTTTGGATTTTGGTTTTTTTGAGACAGGTTTGCTCTGTGTAGCCGTAGCCCTGGATGTCCTGGAACTCACTCTGTAGACCAGGCTGGCCTCAAACTCAGATCTGCCTGCCTCTGCCTCCCAAGTGCTGGGATTAAAGGTGTGAGTGGTTTTTTTTTTTTTTTTCTTTTTAATTTTAGGTACTAGAAACATCAGATATATAATTTGCAGATTTTTTCTATCACGTGATTATAGTGAAAGTTTTACATGTTGGGCAAGTAAAATAGCTCAACCAGTAACCCTCTTGCACATGGTGGAAGGAGAGAACACCCCTGCAAGTTGTCTCCACAATCACTGTGGCTCAAACGCACTCTCCTCTCCCCCAACAAATAACAAATGTTAAAAAAAATATTAAATTTTAAATTATGGCGAAGACAGCTGGACATGGTGGTCTATGCCTTTAATCCCAGCACTGAGGAAGCAGAGACAGGCATATCTCTGTGAGTTCAAGGCCAGCCTAGTCTACAGAGTGAGTTTCAGGACAGCCAGGACTGTACACAGAGAAACCCTGTCTCTGGGGAAAAATTGATACAGCCAAATTTATTCTTTTTTTTCTTCAGTTGTTGTGTTTCTGCAGTAATACACAAAACCCTTTTGTCAATGCATTGTTTTCTGATATTTTTGTTTAGTTTTTGCTTTTGTTGATGGGTTCAAACCCAGAATCTTGTATGTGCATCCTAGGCAAACACTCTCTCATTGACATGCCCAGGACTCTTTACTTTTTTGAGAAAGGATCTCTCTAAATTGCCAAAGCTAGCTTTGAAGTTATTTGTAGCCCAGGCAAGCACTGTGCTTGCTAAACTGTTGTATCAGACTCCCAAGTAGCTGAGATACAAGTCCCTGACACCAGCCTTGGCTTTTCTCATTTTTTAAAGATAGGATATCATGTAGCCTCAAACTTGCTTTGTAGCAGAGGTTGGCTTTGAACTCCTGATCTTCCTTCTATATTCCTTTTGCTGGGATTATAGGTAAGTTGTCATGCCCGCCCTTTTTGTTTGTTTTTTGTTTTTCTCTAGACAGGATCTCATTTTGTAGCCCTGCATATCCTAGAACTTGCTCTGTAGAGCAGGCAGTCCTCAAACTCACAGAGATCTGCCTGCCTCTGCCTCCATAGTGCTGGGACTAAAAAGTCCTGTGCCACCACTGTCCGGAACTCGCCCTGCTTTTATGTGAGTGATGAGGATCCAAACTCTGGTTCTCACCTCAAGTACTTTACCAGTACTTTCTCCAGCCCCCCAATATCTACATGTTTAAAAAAAAAAATCACCTTTTATGTTTTAGTGACAGTATAATTGTAAGAAAGAAAAGATACACAGGGTAACAATTAGGCTAGTTCAATAATGTAGGCGATACATAAGGTTGATGTAGACAAATGTAGGAAAATGTGGGGATGGTCAGGATTTCACAGATTCAAATGTTAATGTGGTGAAAGCCAGTGTCACAAGATTTTGTCTGAGGACCTGGAAAAATATAATTCCTTACTGAGCTCACAAGACTACAAAGGGTTATTTTGGGAGGAGAAGGCATTCGGAACTCTGTCTGAACCTGTTAGGTGTGCTATGCCTAGTTGACATCCAAATAGAAATGCCTAATAGCCAGCTGGATATACTGAATTCTAGAATTCAGACACAGATTTGAGGTATAATTTTGGGGTTAGTATACGAAAAGGTTAACTCACGTTCACGAGTATGGGAGCGACCAAGGAGACCTTTGATAAAAAATTTTGTGGAGCCGAGTGCCTGTTTGTGAGAGTCATCATGCACAGGCTTTGGGTTGGGGACAGAGAACACAAAAGGAAGCAGAGTTTTGGTGGAGGCAGGGTGGGACTCAGGTGGGACGCGCGTGGAGCTCAGAGAACAGGTCTGGACTGGAGACTTGCTATAGAGCTGGCAACTGAAGCCATGGGAGTGGCTGAAATAGGCTCTGGGGAATACGAGCCATTCAGTTACAGAGAACACATCTCCTCCTTTAAGCTGGTTGGTTCCACGGTCATACACAACGCCCTGTGTGTCGACAGCTACTAAAGAATTCTTTATCCCTCATTGCTTTTTCAAGTTTCGAGAGGCTGAAGATGAGAGGATCCTACACCACCCACTCTGCCCCACTGGGGATGGGCCTTAACTGTGGTGACAGCACGGAGAAGGACGGCTCCCCAGGCAGCCGGCTCCCTGATGACCCTGGGTGTGTAGATCCTTCCCCACAGCAACGCTTTCCTGGTTAGTCCCCTGACACCGCGGTCGGTCATCAAGCCAGCTGGAGCAGGCTGTGGCCGTCCAGCAGGCCTTGGGTACGGTTGTAGACGTCCTCCAGGACTCGGGCGGCCCGGGCCAGGGCCACCCGCGCCTCCGCCTCTCCGGTTCCGGGACATGCCAGCTGCAGCAAGCGGCCGCGACTAGGGAGGGCGAGGATGGCCAGGCGGGCGGCCTGACGGATGAGCCAGGGGTGGTGTTCCGCCAGGGTGGTGCTGTAGGCGTCTCCACACTGCACGCCCGCGTCCGGACCTCTGTGCGTCCCTGTCGCCACCCTGTGGAGGCAGAGCTGGGACCAGCGCAGCGCGCGGTGCAGCAAGAGCAGCGTTCTAGAGCCCGAGGCCCTGCTGGCTGGGTTTCGGGACGCGGTCCCGGGCTGCTCCAGTAGTCCTGCTTGCCGCTCCCATGTCGCCATAGTCGCCAGCGACTTGTAGTGCGAGGCATCCGGGCCATGCACGCGAGCCTCGAGGGCGGTCACCTTGATGGAGGCTTCACTGGTTGCGAAGGCGAAGACAGAGCCAAGGGGGGTTAGGAACCTGTTTGGCGGTGGAAATAAGGAGGTGTCTTGAGAAAGAGTAATGAATCACCTAAAAGGTGGGCTTTGGCGGCGGCGGAGTGGGGGGGAATCACTCACTTGAGTAGTTCCCTCCATCCTGCCAGGTACTGAGACAACTCCACATCTCCTTCGGGGCTCATACAGGCCAAGAAGGGGCTCACCATGCGACCCAGCACCCCTTGAGGCCCCAGACAGGCAGGCTCTTCCTTCTCTGGGACCACCAGGGGCATCAACTCCGGAACAACCTGGGAGGTAGACAAGAGAGACAGGTGGAAAAAGTTCCTAACCTGCTAGGCCTACTTAACGACTGTTGGGCTCTGAAAATAATTGTCCCTTGGGTTCCTCCTGCTTATTCTTAGCATCTGAAGGGAAACGGGAACAGAGAGCGAGGAGCTTCCTTTCATTAGCTTCTCAGTCTGGGTCCCGTGTTTCCTTGTTCAAAACCCTCAGACTCTGGCCTTAACTCAAACGTACCTGGAAAGGTAGTGGTCCCTCTGGATTGCAGGACTGCATCCCGGGTCTGCAGCCTGTCAGGACATCTGAGGTGAACCGAAGCAAAGCAGTGAGGACTGGAGAGGGAGAAGGGGGCTTGAGTTCCCAACGGCCAGACTGCTGGGTTCTCCTAGCCGGTAATACTAGAGGCCACTCATGGGAAAGTCTCAAACTAGTATAAAGAAATAGCAACATGAAGAGAGCGAAAGGAATTCCATGGCAGAACCAGCGTCCCAGGGTTGGGGATGTCAGTGAGAACCCCATGACCATCGCTGGTACACCTCACCTAGCTGGGTAGTGGCCTTTCGATTCCCGTGGTGTCCAGAGGTGCAGATGGTTAATAATTAACCTATTAAGCCCCCTCCTTTGTGTCCTTTGCCCCAGAGGTCAGATCCTGGGATGAGGGACCTGATGAATATTTGGGGGATTTGGCATGTGACATGTCTCTTCATTCACTGCCTTTACATGTGGGACTAGCCTGTAATAAGAGATAGCCTCTCACGGGTCCTACTTTAACCCTGGGCATGAATCCATTATAAACTGAGGATAATGGGTCTTTGTAAATCTCATGTGAGGATCAAATGAAAACATTGTAAGTGGAAAATCTGGTCACAATTGCCCAATAGATCTTACTTGCTGGGGTCAAGTGGTGGGGCTTTAGCTCTTTGTTTGCATTCTTATGATTTAGTTTTTTAAGCTCCACATTAGTTTTTCCTTCATTAAATCGATCTTTACTTCATTGTGGCAGACCCTATACTAGATTTCCCTAAGTGTTTTCCAGTTGGGCATGTCGGCCTAGGCCTTTATGTAACCTTAGGTATTTGGGGGCTGAAGTAGGAGTGTCAAAAATTCAAGGCCAGCCTGTGTAACTTACCTAGACTCTGCCTTTTAAAAAGGGCCATTCCTGTTCCAATAACAATGTTTAGGGATGCTCAGAATGGCCCAGCATTTGACCAAAATACAGACTAATGGGAATGGCTATCTGAAACCCCTGGTAACAGAATTGTTAATCTTTATTCCAAGAAGCTTAGTTTTGAAAACACCAAAATCCACATGTGGTATGTGTCCAGGCAGACACCGAGGAGTTTGTGCTGTGAGTCCTAAAGTTCTCATGACATCGCCTAAAACAATAACAAAAATGCTAGCAGGGCATACAGTGACTCCACTTGTAATAAATATGTTTATGACAGGATCTAGTGTGTGTTCTCTAGTGAGGAGCAGAAAACCATTGTGAAAGTGTTGAAGGCATAAGTACAGAGTCAGAAAGCTAAGTAAATAATAAGATTTTTGTATTTAAATGTATTTTTTGAGAGAGGGTAGCCCTAACTGTCCTGGAACTCACTCTGTAGATCAGGCTGGCCTCAGACTCACAGAGATCCTCCTGCCTCTGCTTCCCAAACACTGGGGTTAAAGCCATGTGCCACCACTGCCTGGCTAATATTATACTTTTCAAAATAATAAAAACCAAGCCTCGCTCTGTGAAAAACATTAAAAATAATTAAAAAAATTTTAAAGTACAAAAAGGGTTAGGGAATATAGTTCAGTGGTAGCTTGTCTTTCTAGTATGTGCAAGACTCTGGGTTCAAAACATAATACTATGTGCATGTGTGCGTTCGTGCCTGTGTGTACGTGAATGCTTGTGTGTAAGCACAGCTCAAGCTTCATTGGGGGGGGGGGAATCTTCTCTCTTCCCCACTGGAATGTGAGCCTTGATGAAGACAGGTACCTTTTCTCATTCTGTGTATTTTGAAGACTGAACCCATGACTTTGAGTATGCCAGGGAAGCATTCTAACATTAAGCTGTAGCATCTTCCAATCCCACGTTGTCCCCTCATCCTTTTTATTTTCAAGACAAGGTCTAAACTGTCCAGGTTGATTCATTTTATTTATTCATTACTTATTTGAGACAGGGTCTCTGCACATAGCCTTGACTTGTTTATTTATTTGAGACAGTGGTGTCTCTCTGCATAGTCCTGACTGTCCTAGAACTCACTATATAGATCAGGTTGTCCTCAAACTCACAGAGATCCACCTGTCTCTCTTTCCTGAGTGCTGGGATTAAAGGTGTGTATCACCAAGCCCCACGTCTCAGGTTGGTTTTGAACTTTCTATCCTTAGCTTTCTGCGCCACTGCCATCACACACAAGCTTGAGCCACTATGCCTGGCCAGGCACCTTACTTTTCTTGGGCCATTTTAAGCATTTAGAACATTTCTTGCAATGAATGTATGATAAATAAATAATTATTTGTTAAAGAAACAGGAATGTGTATGAGGCCAGTAAGTCCCTGCCCCTGACCTAGCAGAGTTGGTTTTTTTTTTTTTTTTTTTTTTTTCTTTCTGGTTTTGTGAATTAGGGGTCCATCTACTGGTCATAGAAGGGAAGGCATTCCAGGAAAGGTTTAAAAAATGCAAGCGAGCCAGGGCAAAACTGGTATAATTCCAGAACTCAGGAGCCTGAGGGAGAAGGAACAAGAGTTCCAGGCCAGCCTGGGGTATACAATGAGCTCCGGGCCAGTCTTGGCTACATGGTAAACCCTGTCTTAAAGAAATCAAGAAACAGAGGAAGAGCAGCTTCATTTGTTTAGTTATCTCAATCCCTGTTCATAAAGTCTTAGAATTATTCCTGTGTCACTGGGTGTGGTGCCCCCTGCTGGTAATCCTAGCACTTGGGAGGCTGAAGCCAAAGGATCATGGAGAATTCAAGGTCATCCTGGGCTACTGTGCTGGATGTTTTATGTCAACTTGACACAAGCTAAAGTCATCGGAAAGGAGGGAGCCTCATTAAGGAAATGTCTCCAGTGTCCTTGAGTTCTGTCCCCTGACTTCCTGACGGCTACTGGGGAATGCTCTCTGTACATTGCCCTGTTTATAAAATCTGGATTTATTTGAAAAAGAAAAGAAAATGTCTCCAGCTGGGTGGTGGTGGCACACTCCTTTAACCCTAGCATTTGGGAGGCAGAGGCAAGTGGATCTCTGTGAGTTCAAGGCCAGCCAGTCTATGAGTGAGTTCCAGGACAGCCAGAGTCACACAGAGAAACCCTGTCTTGAAATACGGGGGGGGGGGGGGGGGGGGGAGAAGAGGAAGAGGAGGAGGTGGAATTGGAGGAGTCTTCATAAGATCTTACTGCAGGCAGGCCTGTAGGACATTTTCTTAATTAGTGATTGATGGGGAAGGACCCAGCCTACTGTGGATGGTGCCATCCCTGGGCTGATGATCCTGGGTTCTATAAAAAAGGAGGCTGAGCAAATCGTGGGGAGCAAGCCAGTAAGCAGCACCCCTTCATGGCCTCTTCATCAGCTCCTGCCTCCAGGTTCCCCGCCATACTTACTTGATTTCCTGTCTTGACTTCTTCCAGTGGAAGTATAAGCCAACTTAAACCCCTTCCTCCCAAACTTGCTTTTTGGCCACGGTGTTTCATCACAGCAATAGAAATCCTAACTAAGACAGCTACCCACTGTATTTGAGAACAAACTGGGCTACAGAGTGAGACGGAGTCTCTCTGGGTAGGTCTGGTGTACAAGATTCTGAAAGGAACAGGACCACAGACTTAAAAGGAGTTTTTCAAGGGGGCTAGAGAGATGGCTCAACGGTTAAGAGCTCTGGCTGTCCTTCCAGAGGACCCAGGTTCAATTCCCAGCACCCACGTGGCAGCTCACAATTGTCTGTAACTCCAGTCCCAGGAAATGTGACACCCTAACACCGATGTACACGAAATAAAATATTTAAAAAAAAAAGAGTTTTTCTAGCCCCTGCACTTTACAGGTTCTCTATCCATTGTCTCTGTGCTTTCTTATATCCTGTAAAGTTGCTCCTCATCCTCTAACTGTCCCTGCCTAATTCTGTCCCTGGCAGATTACCATTGGATCACTACAGTCTCTAGCCAGTTCTCTTCTCGGATTTTCCCCCGTTTACAGGGGGAGGAGGGAGGGGGGCAAGTCACTTGTCATTTCTGAGACCCAGCTCTCTCATTTACAAACTAGAAGATATTTCTTTTTAAAAATATATTTATTATTTTTCTTATTTTACATATCGATCCCAGTTCCCTCTCCCTCCCTCCGGAGACATTATTTCTATCTTCTACAATCATTGTGAGGATTACATGAAATATGACTGCAAAGTCCCAATCACAGCTAGTGGTCTATAATAAATATTGGGTAGGTGCTAATTTCAACTCAATGGTTTTCACTGCACCTCCTTCCCCAACTCTTGGCAGCCTTTGTCTCTCAGAGTTGGCAATTAAGTCTTCAGGGTTCCTGGAGTGGATTAGTTTTGAATGTCACTTAATCCTGGTCATTCTTCCGCAATCTGAGCCATGAAAGGATAGGGCTGGTTTAGACTGGCAACCTGAATCCTGATAGGGACTCCGTTGATATAAATTCATGTAAGCGGCCAAATTCATAAGTCATGCAGGATGGAGTTGCAGGCTGGAGCCAAATTGCTGCTGCTGCTGTGGGTGATATACTGTGGACATGCACAGATAATTAGGCAAGAAGCTCGATATGCATCGATTGTTGAAGTGACCAACGGTGGGACCTGGGGTGACTGGGCCTGGCCTGAGATGTGTCCTGATGGATACTTTGCCAGTGGGTTCTCCATCAAGGTGAAGTCTCAGATCCAGGTCTTAAAGGACAGAGATATGCTAGACTGCAGAGCTGAGACTGGCCATCCCCTTGCTGAAGCTCACTTCTCTCCTCCTCACCTAGGTGGAACCCCCTCAAGGCATTCCTGGAGATGACACAGCTCTGAACGGGATCCGGCTGCACTGTACTAGAGGGAATGCTGAACAAAACACCCATGTTGTGGAGTCCCAATCTGGAAGGTGGGAATCTCCCCCCCATCCCCCCCCCCCGCAAAAAAATAATGTGGGATAGAGCATTTATCTAGTGTGTGTAAAGCTGTGACGGGCACTCTCCCAGTGCAAAGGGACACCCTTTACCTTCTGTTACACTCCCGAGGTAAACTCTGTTAGAGTTACAGAGGAGTGGGACGTAAGTCCCCCCATCTGCATTCAGGGAAACACAGGTGATTAGACCCAATCAGTCCCTTATTGGTGGTACCTGGTTTTGGAGCCCCCCAGTATATAGGAGATGCTCACAGAGTCAGTTATAATTCCCGTTCTCTTGCAGCTGGGGCTCGTGGAGCGAGCCTCTGTGGTGTCCTGGCACGCACTACCTAATAGCTTTCTCCCTTCGGGTGGAACCATTTTCATTTCCTGGAGATAACACCGCGGTGAATAATGTGCGCTTCCGTTGCTCAGACGGTGTGGAACTGGAGGGGCCTGGGCTGAACTGGGGAGATTATGGAGACTGGAGCGACTCCTGTGCCAAAGGTGTCTGTGGCTTGCAGACCAAAATCCAGAAGCCTAGAGGGCTCCGTGATGACACTGCACTTAATGATGTCAGGGTATTCTGCTGTAACAGCTGATGATGTTGCCGCCACTGCCCACGCTCCCACTGGACCCTGTCAGCACTGTGCCTCTTACTATTAAAGCTTCTTGGTCTCTGCTGTCACTTGATTTAGAAATGAGAGAAGCTGCCTCCTTGCTTCTGTCTTGACCCTGCATCGGTCCAGGCCTGTGTTCAGGTTTGGCTTTAATGTAGGTCACGCAGGTCAGAAGAATGTAATAAAAAAAAAAAATCTTTTAGGGCATAGATATTATGTTCCTTTTAAGAGCCCAAGTTGTCTTTTTCCTAGCGGTCAGAAAGACTTCTGATTAAGGAATGGGATGGAAGTCCCCACCTCTGACTGTACTCAGGGAAACTCAGTGATTAGACCCAATCTATCCCTTATTGGTAGCACCTGGTTTGGAAATCCCCAAGTTTGAGTTGGCCAGGTGGGGTGTACATCTGGTTTGAAAGTCCCTAGGTGGGTAGGAGGTGCCACAGAGCCTAGGTATTGGATGACAATGCAAATGGTTTTACATTTTCATTTTCTAGAGCTCTGAGACTAAAGAATCTTTAGTTGCTACACCCTTCTCCACTCCACTCTCCACCTTGCAAATTCCAAATAGTGGCTTTTCTAAATAGAGATTGTCACCGAAGACTTTGTCTTTCCACACTGTTTTCTCTGTCTGGAACCTCCCAGGTACCCATACTCAGAATTAGACTTTCCTCATAATAAGTATCCTCCCCTCCATGAGGCAATGCTCATCTCATTACCAACCTGTTTTTAAAGAATGTTTACTGAATAAAAAAGGAAGGACATGACTGCTCCTAGGTGTGGTAGAGGAGAAGGTTTATTGTAGGTAAAAGGGAAAATATAGCCAGAGGCAGGGACATCTGTCCAGAGAGAATATGACCCTGAGTTGGGCCATGGAATGGGAGTGGGGAGGGGAAGAGCCAGACCAAGAGGCCAGGAGAGTAAAGGGGGCAGTCAAAAAAGGGGGGGCAGGTAACCAAAATATCTGGATTATATAGGGAAGGGCAGCTGGGGATGAGCATCCTAGCCCCAGGACTGAAGAAGTTTCAGGTGGGGGTGGGGTATGCCAGCCATACCCTCTAACAGGTAGAAACTGAGGGATGCTGGGAGAACTTGGTAGCCAGGCCCACTTTGATATGTTATGTAGGCAACTTCAACCATTTGTACAGGGTTTGAGACCTAACATTTACCAGCAACTGAAATAATTCTTCACTTCTTTAAAAAGAAATTGCCAGCCAGGCTATGGTGGCACACACCTTTAATCCTAGTACTAGGGAGGCAGACCAGGGTAAATCTCTGTGAGTTCAAGGCCAGCCTGGTCTACAGAGCAAGTTCTAGTTCCAGGACAGTCAGAGCCAGGGATACACACGGAAACCCTGTCTTAAAAAAAAAAAAAAAAGAAAGAAAGAAAGAGAAGGAAAATAAAAGGAAGAAATATGGTGGGTGTAAGAAAACCGAGGCAGAGAAGCAGACAGAAGTCATAGATTGTGTGTGTGTGTGTGTGTGTGTGTGTGTGTGTGTGTGAGAGTGTGTGAGAGAGAGAGACAGAGAGAGAGTAGACATGCTCACTCACAGTGTTTGGTTAGACTGCAAGCAGGGTGTGTTGTTTTCATTACCTGGAATATTTTGTTTCTTCAGGTGAAGTGGAGGGTCAGGCTGGGGCTAAGCTGTTCTTTACAGCTTGGGGCTATTTGTCTAGTACAGCCTGACTCAATGCCTCAAGACCTGGTGACCTGAGGCCATTACTCAACAGTCGGGAGGAGTGAAGTGGGGACTCAGTGGGTGAAGGTGCTTGGTGCCAAGCCCAAGGACCTGAGTTTGGTCCCCAGAGCATACATGGTACCAGAACCGATTCCTGCATTATCCTCTGACCACACACACACACACACACACACACACACACACACACACACACAAACCTCTTGAGAGCACAGAATTTTATTTCCAGAACAGTAACTATTTGTTAAGAAAATAACAAGCAGGGGGTGGTTGTACAAACAGAAGCACAAGCCTAGCTATGCCTGAAGGCCCACGTGCAGTCCTTCCAAAGGACAAACTGGGGAAGGGTGCTCAGGGCGGTTTATAACACAAAGGAAAATATTGAACAATAAAAGCAGTTTTCTTCAGCTAAGCAGGGAGTCGGTAGTCCACTCAGACTTCCAGAAATGAGGTATTATTATGTATGGCTATGGAACTCAGTGAGCTGTGCCCTGCAAGGAAAAAAAAAAAAAAAAAAAAAGAGTAAAGAAGCAGCCAAGAACAAACAGGACCCCTCACTCCCCGCTTACCACGACCGACCCCCCCCCCCCCGCCCGCAATCCACCCCATATGGTCCCACCTTTTTCCGACAATCGCCACATAATACACCAATGGTCGCATTCACCAACTGTATCCCACACAGCACTGTTTCCAGACTTGAGGCGACCACCAGCAGAGAGAAGAGCGTCACATTCCAGGGTACCACGTGAGGTGGCGCTTCACATAAATCCCATAGAGTTTTATTGTGCAAGTAAGAGCCTCTGTGGATGGACAGGGTCATCTGAAAGAATCTGATCGCACAGTCCCCACCACCACCCAGTGGAAGGGTCTATTAAAGTCTGCAAAGGGTTCGACTGGTCCCGTGGAAGGGGCTTTCTAGAAGCTCGGTCTGGTCCATCATTTCTGGACCATGCAGGAAGGAAGGGAAGGTGGGGAGAGGCACAGAATGGGGGAGACAAACACAGAATAGGACTTACTGGGTTTCTTGGAAGTGATAGTCCCACTGGTTGTTTATTAAGCATTTGGGTCCCACTCGGAGCCCGGTTCCCGACACTGAGAGGCAGTAGATGGAGCCAAGCATCCCAAAGGCAGAGGAGAAGACAGAGCGAAGCATCTAGACAGGTGTGGAAAGGTAAGGTGAGTGGGCCCGCCTCCTCCCTTGGAGGGCCACCCGTGCCAATCCCCCCGCCCCCGCCCCAGGCTGCCTACAAATACATTTCTCTTTAAACTCCAGGTTTGAAGTTAGGCGAATCCTAAAAGTCATCTACCACAGAGGCTCATGGGGCTTCTAGGCCCCTCTGGTCAGGTTCATTTGGTACCCAAGACTGTGGTGAGGCAGCGCCTAGGAACTGCTTGTAGATCCTGCTGTGGTTGTGTGGGGAAGGAGTCAGGAATCTTTCTTTTCAGGGTTTCTCTGTATTACAGCTCTGGCTGTCCTGGAACTCATTTCTTAATTGGATCTTACCCTGCAGCGATTCCCACAGCAACCTGCACCGCAGCAGCCCTTGCCCCCTGCCCGGACTGCTGCAATTCCCGGACACAGCACCTGTGGGATGAGAGTTGGTGATGACAGCAGGTTCTCCTAGATCCTCAAGGCTGTATTTGCATTGTCCATCTCCTCAGAAAAGCTGCCTACGATGCCCTCAGACCTTTGTACTGTAAAACCTTATCTATAGTCTCTGGATCATTGTTGGACTCGGCCTTAATTTATCATTATTTATATGCCTGCCTTATCTCGCTCCAGATTGTAGCTTCTTGGAGGGTTGGGTCCAAAACCATCAAATGTTTAGGCAAGGGAGTGGCAATATGATTTACTCCACATACATGTTTTTGAGTGGTAGGCACCTGCTGAATGGAGTCTGGACCTTCATTCCACTGTGTGAACTGATTGCTTTTAGTTTTGTCACTTGTGAAATGGATCTGCAAGACCTACCTCAAAAAGACTGTTCTCGGATTTAATGAGACAACAGGATGATTTTGTCATGACTGGCTCTGAGAGAAAGCCTTATGCTGATGTATACCTTCAACATGTACAGTGAACAGGAATTTCAGTTGAGTGTTAGGATTTGCACAGGGATTCTGGTACAGAGTGCAGGATTTCCTAAGAGTCAACTTCTAATCTTTTGTTTCTTCCTTGTATCCTTTATTATGAAGCGCACACCTTCCCAGGTAAGGAATCAGTTGTTCCGCTACACTAATAGTCTCTTCCCGGTACCCAGAGAACCATATCAAACTGCCTGAAGGACATGCTCATTTGAATGTCTTTGTTAATGCAGCTTCAGCAAGCCTCACAGTATCCCCCAAACTCATCTGCCTTTCATCTTTCTTGTCTTCATCAGTGGGAAAATATCCACCAATTTACCTGGGCTGCAAGATTTTAATCCTCCTATACCAGGGCTGACTTCCATCTTCTGTACTTTCCCTCGATGGTTTCTGAATCTTTCCGTCCTTTCTTAATTCTTTCACACCCTCAGTCCCTACTCTCCTTCCATGAGGAAGATGTTTTCTACCTCTCTAATAGATTCTCATCACTCTTATCCCATGTCATCCCAGACTCCATCCCACATTCCCACATGCTAACACTTGATCAACTTAATATTTAACTGCTCTTTTATCAAGCCCCTTTATCAAGGGGCTGAGGCTAGCTGGTGCTCCCTAGCAAGTCTTTTGAGATTCCATTACTCTGCCTTCAATTTCATGTACCGTAGGTCCTTGCCCTTATGCCTTAGTTTAGTCCCACCAAGTCACATTCTTTGCTTACCTTGTATCCATGGAATGCTACAGCTTTTTCTTTTCTTTCCCTTTCTTCCTTCCTTCCTTCCTTCTTTCTTTCCTTCCTTCCTTCTGAGACAGGGTCTCTATGTAGTCCTGGGTATCTTGGAACTCAATATATAGACCAGGCTGGCCTCAAATGTCACAGAATTCTGCCTGCCTCAGCCTCCCAAGTGCTGGGATTAAAGGTGTTTGCCCAGCAGCAGCATGTGCTCTTGACCACTGAGCCATCTCTCCAGCACCCTTCCCCCTTTAAAGGAAGGGTCTCTCTTCCTAAAGGAAGTTGCCTCTTATGTAGGCTGACTTAAGCTCTCACTTCTGCTTTAGTCTGAGGACACCTGAGAGCCTGGTGAAGTCTTGGATGCTCAGAATTCCATTCCAGGATTTTGGAGGAGGATGATCCAGGGCTGTAAGCTCTTCCTCGGCTACACAGTTGATTGAGCTCAAGACACACTGGGTTTCATGTGACCTTGTCTTAAAATCCAAAAAAGAAAAGAAGTTGGGCCTAGTGATGCATGTGTGCAGTACCAGTATTTAGGAGGTAAGGGGGTTCAGGGGTTCAAGTTCATCCTCAG